AAAAGAATTAAAGATGATTGTAAATAGTTATTTGTAAATAATTTAAAAAAGTAAATATATTTAATGTATTTATTACCAGTAGCGTGTGTGTACATGATTTTCTCAACTTCCAAACCAACAGAGCTTGTACCTTTCAGATTTATATAAAGATAATCAGTTAAAGCAATAAGCATAAACAACGATTGAATCTGTTAATGACCTACATTCATCCAGGATTGCGTATTTTGGGCGATGGTAAAATAATCGCGCCATAGCAATCTAATATATGAAAAAGGTTTCTATAAAGTTAATAATAAAAAATAAAAGTGAAATTATTCAATTGAACATTGAACATACCTTTTGCTTATCACCACCTGCAAGAACGTCTTTCCATTCACGTTCTTTATCCCAACCACCTTCACGATCAACTATATTACCCAATTGAACTACATTTAAAATTTCTTGTAAATTTTGGTCAGTGACGTTACCTGTAATAATTGTACAGAGATAAAACTTTAATAAAAAAAATAAACGGGCAGTTATTCAGAGATAAGAGTTCATACTCACGTTCTTGCATTTCACGAGGTGTGTGAGGGTAAATTATTCTAAAAAAGAAAAATAAAATAAAATAAATCACCAGTAAGATGCCATATAAAGAAATAAAATACTTACTGGTCGCGCAAAGTACCATGTGATAAATAAGGTCGTTGTGGGATATAAAAAATATCCTTTGGATTTGGTCTATGAACGGTACCACCTGCAACAATAATAATAATTAAAGGTCATGAAGCGTAAATTCATTAATTATGATAATTATGATAAACATTTTCTAACGAATAATATTATATAATATTATGTATACCGTAAACAGGCCATAATCCACCCAAAATCCTAAATAAGCTGCTTTTACCACATCCATTTGGGCCAACAATTAATAAGTGCATCCCGGGTTTTACGTGGAAGCTCAATTTTTTTAACAAAACATCGCCATTTGGAGAAACGATTGGAACATCGATGAATTCTATGTTTTCATCGACGACGACATTGCCACGGCCAGACAATACTTTAACGTTCTCTTCAATTGAAACTGATGAGACGAGTTGTTTCTTAAATCGACCAGCTTTAACTTCATCAAAAACATCCAAAAGTTCTGAAACCTAAAAACAATATAAAAAGTTAGATCACTTACACAGAGAGGTAAAGTTGAAAATTTAAATTTGTCTATCTTACTCTAGCAGTGTATCCAGCCAATTCTGCAATTTCTTTGTAAGAATACATAATACGACCAAATGCATCAGATGAACTCATCAATAATCTGCGGTTGGTTATAAATCCTTAAATTAACAAAGTTGCATAAATGAGTTATATATTATGTTTATTATGTATATGTCGAAATATTAATATTATTATTACCTTCAGCACGTGAGCCAAGATTTTCCTTTTTGTCACCAGATATATTAAAGAAAACGGGTACCGAACAAAGAACCAATCCCATAGCACCCCAGAAATATTTAATTATGAAATCTTCCATCATGCCATGATAAATACGCTTACGGAAAATTCTATTAACATGTTTGATTAAAGCAAAGTAATTACGATCTAGGATGGACTTTTCAACTTCGTGACCAGAATAGAGAGCAACTTCTTCAGCATTTTCAATGAGGCGTGAATGTGTAAAGCGGAATTCACCCTAAACAATAGATATAATGTATTATATTGCTATAAAGTTTAATATAAAAAATAAAAAAAACATCATGTATTAAATTAAATATTAAATTAAACATACCTCTAACCTCTGTTCTTCTGCTACCATTTTTCCAAATGAAGGAGTCAAGGCTCTTAAAACGACCGATGATAAATGTACGATCAACGAAACACCAAACAAACCCTCGCCACCAACATTTTTTACCAATTGTAGGTTATAGATGAATACATCTAAAATCGGTTTGACCAAATTAGAATAAAGTTCAGAGAGTGAATTACAAAATTTCATTGTATCCACTGTGATGCATCTTTTAAAATTGATTATTAATTAGGTAAAATTATTAACAAAGTTTAATGGCAAAATATATATGTATATACGAACTGATCCGCATTCTTGATACGATCATCCAAATTTCCAATTGCGTAGAAAGTCATGTCAGATAGGTAATTTTGATGTATGTAATTAGTGAGGCGAGTGCGGAATTGTATGGCTAATTTACTTTGCATGTACGTAAGCTGAATATAAAAAACTTGTTAAATTACCAAGCCGGGAGAAATATATATTAAAATAAAATCTTTTACCATGCTATTAGTATAAGTGGCAGGGATAGCGACTGTCATCCACCACACTATTCCAGTTAAGAAATCCTTTGCATTCCCTCTTATCTATAAGGAATTGATAGGTTAATTTTGTAA